GAATTTAAAAGATTTTGTTAATGTAATTAACTTTTACATGTGTTAATCTGTAGTCGATCATAGCAGTTAATTTATAGAGGGGGCAAAGGGATTTGTTCTTTCATTTAGATAAGTGTTTAGCTCATCTATGTAACTAGTGTTCAGCAAAATTTTGCTGAAATTTTACTAGTTTTGCATACTATGAATATCACGCACTGTGATTGCTAAATTAAGATTGGAGTCAAATGCTTCCATAATTATTTATATGGATTCTTTAAACACATTTTCATAGCAAGGAAATAACATCCTTTTTAAAAGTGAGCTTGGTAATGTCTTTTCACTGCACGTGCTTGGGAGTGTTTGGCATAAAATCTAATTTAAAATTTAAAAATGTATCTGTCAGTATTTAAAAATTACTTAAATTTTAAGGTAAATTTATTTTTTTCAGTAATGGAAAACATGTATGAGGTATAGTTATCAATAGGACATAGTCTGTGTTTTTTCACAGATTTATTTCCTAAGCTAAACATAAACTATAAAGAGGAGGTGTACTTGTTCGCTTGATTGTGTGATAGTAAGGGAAAAATAAGGGAGAAGAGATATAGTTGAGTATGCAGTTCAAGATAGTTTATTTTAAATATTAAGAAAAGGTGTAGAACACATCTGTACTAGGGAGCTCTGCATTATAAGTGTCTAAAAATAATGATTTCCCATGGGCTATTCAGTAACTGAACATTAAAATATACTTTAAATAAGTAGGCAGAATTGTCAAATAATGATGTCACATGTTTTTGGTTTGTTTTGCTCCCTCTGTGGTGCGATAGTTTGAGCCAATTTACCTATCCCGTTTGTCACATTCGTTTTGGCAGAGACAGAACACCTTCATTGTTCACTTGCTTCTCTGGCACTTTTGTAGTTAACAGTTAGCATAGCTGCTACTGTAGTCAGTTTACTCTAACTTCCCTTTTCACTTAAAAAACCAAACAGAAACCCACCAAGAAAACCCCACCCACCACCACCAAAAACCATTTCTGTGGACTCTAAGGCTACATGCCAAAGAGTATGTGGGCATAGCAGTGGTTCCTTTGGCACGAAACTTCAACCGTTATGGCACGACCCGAAGCTCAGTTGAGATGTGGCACGCAGTGATATACTATCCGATTACCTTTGTGTTTCGGAGGAAGACATACCCCAACACGATGTACTTTTTTTGATCAACTCGAGCACAGTTATAAACAAAATCCGCTCAGTAGGATACAGGATACTTCAGGTTGGAAGGAACTTGTGGAGGTCATCTACTCTAACCTCCTGCTTGTCAACTATGAGATCAGACCAGGTTGCTCAAGCGTTTATGCAACCTGGTCTTGAAAACATCCTAGAGTGGAGACTGTACAACCTCTCTAGGCAACCTGTTCCTGTGTTTGCAAATAGTCTTATATGTAAATGTGTATTTTATTATTGGCAAAATAAACTTCCGCTGCCCTCATTTATTGATTTAATGGAACTTTGTCTTTAAAAACTGTAAGCAACATTAGCGTTTATATTTTCACAGTAGGTATTTTTCTCCAAATTAGAAGTAGTTTCAGCATTTAACTGGAGCTGCCAGTTCTAGCTAGAATGGGGTGATTTTTTTTCGTAGCTCTCAAAATACGTATCAGTACATGACAAAATAAGTCTCTTGTTTAGAAAGAAGAAAAATGAACTAAGAAAGGACAATTAGACTTACTGACCTCTCCGTACTTTGCTGTAATCCTGTTCTTTCATGAGTCCTGGAATAAATGAAAGCCATTGCATTGTCTATTCTGTATCTTTACTTCCATATTATTAACATTTAAAAATAACAGTTGCTGTGCTCAACATTATTTCTTTGGAGTAAAAGTATTTCTTGTCCTTCTTTTTCCATTTATTCCCACCATCCTTTCCATGTCATATGACAAACCTTCTGAGGTTTGTCATATGTAGTATCTTGGGCAGCAGGATACCGTGTCTTGTATTTTCAGGCAAAACTCCCTAGAGTCTTGAATGCTTTTTCCATTTTGCTGTGCCCCTCAGTATGGGCCATAATTCCTCAGGTAAAGCATGCATTGGAAAACCGAAGGAGTACTTTGGCTCTGAGTTGGAGTACCTGTGTTTAAGGGACTCCGTAAACAGTATGCAGCCAACACCTTGTCCTGTTATTCAAGCAATGGTAAAAGGACTTGTAGCCAGAAAAAATGAAGAGTTCCAAAGATCACCCTAAATTTTATGCATATTACAACAGTTATATCAACTATAGATTACAGTATCTGTTGTGCAACGTGTTGCTGGAGAGCCTTTGCATAGGAGGAAGATGACAAGCAAGGAGGCTCAAAGGTTTCCCTAGTTTCCCTTTACAAGCTTACTTATTTTGCTGCTTTATGCAACTAAGCCATGGTACAGATTGCAACACAGTTGAGTGGTGTGAAGACCTGTGATATTTCTTCTGTACTTCTTGAAGGTCAGTATTGTTCCTCATCCTCTAGGACATCATCCCTAGTCATTTGCTACATCTAGTGAGCTTTTTAAAAGCTGCTATTCTTAGAGGAAGTAGTTAGAAATATTTCTACTTTTTATATTGTAGTTACCTAAGTTTCAGTGTGAGTATGGTTATGTTCAGTTATGAGAGAGCCTGTGTTTCTAGAAACACAGGCTATTAAATATATTGCTAAAAAGATTTAAAGAGATTGTTGGACATTTCCTAGGCATTTTAATGTCTCATAAGAATGAACATAAGAATTAACATATTGTGAGTTGTAAAATAATCAGCGTTCAGCTTTATGTAAAGATCTATATGTATGCATTATGAGTTTAGTTTTATAAATATTCTGTGGCTGCTTGGTAACTGAAGCTATCTGGGGTATGCAAGAGAAACCTGAGCAGTCTACTTTGTGATCAGTTGTAACTGTATTCCAAGCAAGTTCATATTCTCATATAAATTAGTGGAAAAACACACTTCTGTGGTTTATGTATTATTTTAAAACTGGCAATTTATCAAGTGATTTTTCTTGAAATTTCCATGCTTATTAAATTTCAGGTTATGTATTTTGAGTAAGCTGGAAACTTAAACTTGTTTCCATAAGTATGGCTGCAGGTAAACAACCAATTTTAGTCCAGAAAATAGCTTTTGCTTCTGTCAACATGTTGTTTATTTTCTCCCTAAGATAAAAAGTTCAGTTTTCTGATATTTGTACCAAGATAAAGTCTGTAAACAAGATTAATATAGCGTGGAAAAGGTTGTCAGCAGCCCTGGCAAAGGAAATAAGTTGCCTGTACACAGAACATACTGTAAACTGAATAAAAGTGTCAGGTCCACCATGAGATAATGTGATCATGAACCTCTAACAAAGCATGACATAGGCACAGTCGGCTTTTCTTATAGCCACAGTGTAGAAAATGGATTACTATATTCCAGGGATACCCACTGGAATAGCATGAAAACCTCATTCTGAGATTAATGCAGGATGTAACTCTCAAGAGCTGAGCTACATGTTTATCTATAGTGTTAAAGTAACAGTTTAGTTACTAATCTTAAAATTTGGAAATTACTTATTAAAATATTTGTTTCTATTTGTAGGTCTCTCTTTGTGAATTGATATTGCTCGCTCTTATTATTAGGTGAACTATGACATTGCAAAAGTCATGTTTGGTCACTGTTCTATTATTATCATGTGGCTGTGTAAGGCCTCAATAAGTCGAGTAAAACTGTAAATTCAAATGTGGGTAAGGCAGTAGGTGCTGTTATCCCATGTAGTTGTCGTGATTTCCTATAGCAGGGATTTGTGTTTGCATAGATTTTTCTGCAGTAAGGTATTACCAATTCTTTTCAATCACCGCCAGCCAGGAAAGTGACAACACTTTAGGGTTTCTCGATTCAGCCTCAACTGACATCATGCTTCAGGTCAAAGGAACACATTTTGGACAAATACTTTAACCACATGGAACTTTCAAATTATTCAGTGACTGTTCATTGAAAGGTTTTGAGACTTGGAGCTCTGACTACCCTGGCTTTTCTCCATCATGACACCAGATGAATAGGGATATTTTTCTTTAAAAGTTGAGTGCATTGTTCTTTTAATAAAAAGTAGGCTGCTTTTATCTGTGAATCTTCTGCTTATGTCCTTTTGGCAAGCCTGAGCCATATAAATGTATTATCATTGAGGTTTTGTGGTCTCCTTCCTTTCAAAACTGGCAGAACATCTGACTTCATTCCCACCTCTCGCCGTCTACTGACTAGAAAACTGTTTCCAAGGAACTGAAAATTTGTTCCTGCATTCTTTCCAGCAGGAATAGTTTGCCTTCTGCTCTGGTTCTTCAAGCATGGGTTTCATCAGGTGGTCCCTTATTCTTCTGCTTTTGCCTATCAACATGTGCAAATTAAGGAGATTCTAAAAATAGATATAAAGCTGTTTGAATGCATTCTTAAGGAATACCAGAATATCTTCATCTGCAACAGTCTGCATGTGCTGTCATGCATCCTTAAGATCATTCTTAAATTGAGCATATTATGTATTCTTGCTTTCAGTGTATATAAAGCGCTAGACAAGGACTTACAGTACAGTGTGGTAAAAATTATTTTATCTTTGGCTTCTATCCCACATCAGCTTGTATTTCAAAAGCTTTGTGTTAGGATACAAAGGTTGGGAGCATTTTTAAATAAATTTATTGCTATGTTATACATTAATAAGAATAGTATGTTGAATATGATTTTCAAAACATCTAACTTCTATTTTTCAGAGATAAGTGACTTAGGCCCCTGACATCTGTAAATGTCTGACATCCAACCAGAATTACACATAAAGGATTTTGATAAATCTTATATAGTGCTTTTTGCACTCAGACTTTACTTAAAAATTGCAGATACTGCTAATTGCATTTACTGTATCTAGTGTACTGTCTCTGTTTTGCATTTAGTATTTGTGATGTTTGTTAATAAACAATCACTGTGTGCATATGCTGCCCCATTATTCAAAGACGCTTTTTTTTCCCATACTGTTTTCCTTTAGATAACTCCAGGACCAGGCGGTAGCAGGAAAACAGTTCACTTGTCCCAGGATTCTCTTCACCATGAGTGAGTATCAATGATGGGAGTTATAACTTTTTATTATTGTTTGCTTTACAATAGTACCTCTGTCCCAAAGCCACATTTTACAAATATACAAATGCCTGGTAAGTGAGCCTCAGCTCAGTTAAATAATGATCTTCATTTAATAATACTATTTATAATCCTTTGTAATTCATTTTGTTTCTTAATGAAACGTGAAGTTCAGTGCTTTGTAAATGTGTTTTTATTAACTTACTAAGTATATGCTTTCCTGAAAAGCAACACTTTTTATGTCTATAGACCAAGTACGGGTTGTTTAAAAAGTCCTGCTTTATTTTTCTCCAAAGGGAAGTTCAGAAATGCCAGGGTTGAATATATAAAAGTAAACAAGCATCACATCTTTGGGTCTTAAATGTGATGTGTCATGTGAGTAAGAAGTTTATCATAAATTCCAAAGAAAGACATTGAATTAATTGTTTAGACATGTAAATAGGGAATGTCATTCAGTTCATATAGTTATTCCAGTGTACCATTACTGTAAACTCTTACTCTGTTCGGCTGCCAACATTTGGCAGCATTATTACTTGGTTCTCTCTTTTGCATAGTTAGAATAAGAAAATTAAATTTTCCTTTATTTTCCAAATCAGAAATCTAAAATGCAGACACACATGATTTAAGAAATAATGTATTTGGGGGTACATTTCATATGTTCTAACTGCTACTACATATAGCATCCACAAAACTTGCCAAAGCACATATACTACAAATATCAGATCCTCAGTACCAACTGTTTTATGCGACTAATCCACTTCTGCTGCACCCCAGAACTTGCTAATGTGTGTGTTAACTAAAGAGGCTGTGATTTCATAAGTTATTTCTACCCTAAAGTAATTCAACTGATATTTTATGGAGTTTACTTTTGTTTTATTAAAGCAAACAAATAATACTGTAATTAAGTGAATGCGCAAAATCATAAAAATCAGTGTGATGTGAATATCACTCTTTAAAAGAGTTGTTATTCTTTACAAAAGGTTATAATGTCTAAATATGAGACGCATTCAAATTACTTTGATACATTTTTTCAATAGAAATGTGTTTTACTGGCAATATACTCTGTAATCCACTGGTTTGCCAGAAAGCAGCAGAGTTTATGTGGAGTAGGGTACCCCAGTTTGCCACTCCTCTTTGAGTATTTGCTTTGGACATTGGTAGGGAGAAAAGCCATTCGTCTATGTGGGATTTAGATCTAACCCATTATGTTTCTTATCTTCATCAGCTTCTGGATGTTTGTGATCTTATTTGTTGGGTCACTCGCAAATGTGATGGTTTTTCTTTTCATCCACTGCCAACATCAAAGTTGTGTGTGTGCATGAAATCTCCCTGTTCTCCTCAGGTTTTGAACTCTTCAGTGCAGTTGATGAACATTTCATGTCCAAAATATAAAAGTCTACTAATTTTTATCTCAAAGTATACTTTTAACTTTATTGCTGCCATTCTTTTTTTCATTTCCAACTTCTTTTCCTTAATCACCCTAAAAGTAGAAAAAGGAGTTAGCAGTATCGGGTTTTGGTGACAGCTGGTCTTGTATGCAAGAATGAGAGAGTTGACTGCTCATCAACAAACTCAAAAAAACGAGTGACAGAAAGCCACTAAACTTTCAGATTTGTGACTTTAAAAAAAATAAAAGCGTAATTTCGACCAGACAATTCCATAGAATCTCTTCTTCTCAGTGTATTAATTAAAGTAAAAATTTTAGTGTAATTATGTGCCTCAGAGAGAGTAAACTGTATTGAATGTAACTACTTCAGAAAAAGCGTGACTAGGTTAAGCTTATAATCTTTGGTTACTCTTCTAGAGGAACTTACAAGCGTAATAGCAGATCATGTGATGGGTTTCTTGTGCAAATCTATAATGGATGGAATTATTTTATCCTTTGCCCAAAACCTATTGCTTGCTTACATGAGTAATATGTAGGTACTATGTGTAATTTCAGATTTTCCTTGTTTTAATTGGTTTTTTCCTTCTTTTCATTTTGCAAGTGTCAGGATTTGCCCCAGGTTTGTGTAATGGTTACTACAGCTACATTCAGATGTTAATTCAGTTCTATGTGATCACAGTGTGTGTGTGAACCAGTATTAATATGCTTTTACTGCTATTGTGGGAAGAGTCACGTTGTGAGTTCTTGTCCCTGCACGTCAATGTCTTAGTTCAAATTTTCATCTCTATGAAATAAGGCTGCCCGTAGTCAAAATTGTGCAATTGTGTGCAGATACAAAGCCACTGAATTTATGGACTTGGAATTTCACTTTAGATTCAAACTCAGACCTCAGTTTGTGAAATAATAGATTAACAACTACCAGGTAGTCCACAGTACTTAAAAATCTTTTCAGCTATAATCATTAATAAGTAACACTTCGGTACTAAATATGGAATTACTTTTATTTATAGCACATGCATTATAGTATATTAAAATACTATCATTTATATATTATTTTAGCTTGTTTGACAAAATATAATTACCTATAAAGCAAATAGCTACTCAGAAATGAAATTTGCGGTGCATTCTTTCAAAACTGTTACAGACTTTAAAAGTTCAATAAAAATATCCCATTAAAATAAAGCATAGCCAAAGGCTGTATTTTCCTGGCAGACAATAAAATACCCAAAAGCACGCACAGACTGGTCATATGACAGCATGTGCTTTGTTAGTTATATTGTTAAACCTGTCTTTTCTTTTTCTCCCACAGCCACTGGTTTAGCCCTGGGGCTAGGAAGGACCATAGCCAGGTAAGAACTGCTTTGATCAAGAACAGTTTACTTGAGATGTATAAAGGAATTTAACTACCTCTACTCCAGAGGTAGTGGACTAATATTTTAAGAAATTATAAACAAAGCAGGTATGATTTCATGTTTTCTTGTAAGGAAACATATTAACAGTAGTGCATTTCAAAAAATCCCTTAATTAAAAATCTTTAATTAGTCACTTAATTTCAGTTAAGTATCTTTGAGTTCTAACAGGTTCAGTGAAAAGTCTGATTTTTTTTTTTAATGATTTTTTTAATTGCAGTATCTCCAAATGTTGCATTTCTCAAAATGCTGGAAAGCAAAACATTTGACTCACAAAATCAAGAGCTACAGAACAGTGACAAGTGTAGGCAGGCTTCTATGGGAAGATCTTCAATTCCATTTTTTTGCGTTTCATTTGTTAAAATGAGCACAGCAGTAAAAAAGGAACTGTTAAATCTCCATCATGGTGCAGATCAGATATTGGGGAAAATATCTCACTAGTTTGTTGAGTCTCTACAATGTACTCCCTAGGAGGTCCAAGCCTAGAGATGTGGTTGAGGGAATGTGAATACATGTTTATATTTGATTAGCAACATAGCACTTAGTTCTTTAGCTTGTCTTCAGACATGGAGGAATACCTTTCTTTATGGGTGGTAGTGAGGTCTAAGCAGAACATAGTCTAAGAACTTTAAAATGAGGGAATGTAAAATAAGTCTGACTTCATTTACTGAATACTTAGCTATACATTTATAAAAAGTAGCTGAATATATCAGCAATGCATTGAAATTTAAGACTAAAGTTCCATAGTATATTTTTTAAGTTGGTAAAAATCAATATAACACAGTTGATTTCATTAGATCTGTGCCAGTTTGCTTCTACATTTACAAATTTAAATAGATTTGAAACTTGAAAAGGAAATAGAAATCTGTAGACACTTTGGAGGATTCATCTTAGGCTGATCCATCGTGAACACTTGTAGCTCCAAGAAGTCATAGTTCAAATCAGTGTATACTCTTTCCAGTCTTCTCCTCCTTCTTTTGAAGTCCAGAGCAAGCTCTCAGTTACGTTACTTGCCCAAAACTGCCAGAGTGGATAAAACATAGCACAGTTTTAACTGTAAAATGTGAACATGTTACAGTAAGCTGACTGACACTTAACATCTTAACAGCTTTATGATTCACATTTCTCTCATTATTTGAAACACATTTCCTAATAGAAGAAACATATTAAAAAAGAGCATTTTAAATATGTGTGCTTTGTCTTAATCATGATAAAAAGGCTCTCTTGGGCTAATCTTCATCCTATTCCTGAAATTTTGATGCTATAAGCAGTCAAATTTGCTAGATCAGAATGAGTTTGAGTGATTTTTTTTAATTTCTTTTTTTAATATATTGATTTTCTCACATGAAAGTGTAGTTAACTGTTTACTTCTTTAAAAGATTCTAAGCTTAAAATGGTATGGAAATTTCCATGTTGAGAAATATATTAATCTACATTGTACATACTGGCAGTACCCATGAAAAATGTCTGCTTAGTTGATATATAATGGCAAATTAATATTTTCTCAGATAATAGTAGATCTGAATTAATTTAAAATTTTACATGTTTATTTCATGTTTCCCAAGAGCTGTGTTTTCAGAGCTTATCTGAAGTTTACTGTATTTGTAACTTACAGATTACTAATGAATTGTGAAGTAAAGCTAATTTCATCAAATAATGTAGGTGCTACTGGTACATAAAGGATTATTTTTTTAGACATGTAAAAGAAATGAGAATGGTGCAACGTAATTACAACAATTTAGACAGCCTATACAATTCTCACTAAATTTGTGAAGATCCATAGTATATAACTATTGGTTGCATGGGTTTACCACTTTCTCTTTTAATTAATTTGTGGAGTTGAAGTTATGTTAGAACAGAAGTAATTAGCCAAATTTTAAGTCTGGCAGGTGATTTGTATTTGTACATGCTATAACTACAATTTACTTATCAGCCAGAGAATATTGATAACAGTAAGACACTTCTCCTTAGCTTGATCAGGAGATAGATACTCATTGTACGAATGTCATGCTGGTAAAAATTGTGGCTACTTTTACATATGAATTGTAAATGTTCTGATTTGTTGACGATAAGAAAATGAAATAAATATTTTATCAGAATAAGATGCCTTACCTTCACATATCCTTCAGATTGCCTTTTAAAACCAAACTGCACTATTTTTACTGCATCTGAGAACTAGATAGTTGAAATGACAAGGAGCATTCCTTATACAAGAAGTAAGCTATAGAGAATTGGGGAAAAATCAGTCAAGTGTAATATTTCAGACAGGTGTCATTTTTGGAGTCCATGCCCATGTACAACATTAAGGTGTCATTGTCCAAGTCATAAAGTTCATCATTTCCTAATTCCCAGTGGATTTCTAAATGTGTTTACTGTGAATATTAGATCCATTTACCTGTAGTCTGTTTCTGAACAGTCTTTCATTCTATACTTTCGTCAATATACGATTAGTTTCAAGAAACATTTGTATTTTTTACACTGTCTAGTTTTAATTTCTTTAGCGTAACTTTTTGGCAGTCATTTTTTATTGTCATTGCCACTTCACTCATCTTGACAAATATCGTAATGCTAGAAATAGATTTCTGAGTATTGGAGATAGTCTGAATGAAAAGTCTTACTTTATTTGTCTAAAAATAGAGTAGATCAGAGCTTGTTCCAGAAGCTGAGTCACTGTTTCGGTTAAATGAATCCTTCATTATTCCTACTTCCCCTGTGTTATGGGAAGCTTTAATACTGTGTTTTTGTTGATTATGCAACCTATAAATTACAAAAGCTCCTGGGGTTTAGAAGAGTTTGTAACTGCTTAGATACAAGCGCCAGCTTGAATAGCTTTTTCATAATTTAAGTGTTCTCTCACACTTTCCATTATACAATTTTGAAAATTTTAAATTTAAATTTTTAAAATTGTAAAATGTTACAAATAAGTTAATTGTGATTTGCATGGCTTTATAATATACTTTGAGAATGCTTTAATTTTTACATTTTCAATTATTTAGGAATTTTAAATTAGTGGATATATCTTGAAATCTTAGCTATTACTGTAAAATTCTATTAGAGTAAAATTCTTTTAGAGTCTTGGGTGAAAACTACTGAACGATTACTCAAGACAGGAAAGAATGGCATTGTCAGGATAACATTTTTAAAAAAGCAAATAAAGGCATTGCTTCTGAAACCATTCTGAATATATATTTTTTTTTTTAATAGCTTCAACTCTTGCGGGACAACCGATCGGAGAGAGGACACAAGAAGAACAGCTCTGTAAAAACAGCTAGCAGGTAAGTTAATGCTGCAGCTGTCTTTAATACTGTTTATGAATTTGTTGATTTCTTCACTCTCAATTTTTTATATAAGAAATGGCACCATTCTTTTGGGGTATTTTCAGGCGTCTTCTGGGGGGTTTTTGTGATTTACTTTCAAGAATTTCTTTTATATGGCATAATCTTTGCCTAAAATATGGGTATTTGAATTTATTGGTGACTATATCTAACTGCACTTACTAAGCTTAATCACTTTAGTAAACATCAGAATTAAATGGATGCCAAAGTAAGGTTTGTGCTTCTGGCGTGTAAGTTAAGTGCTGAAAATGTATAAAATAACCATTATGCAAACATGTTTTTGAAATCAAGATGATAACTCAAATACTGTAACACTTAAATTGTTCTTACATCATATTTTGACAACAAAATTTTCATTGTGAAGACTTATTAAAAACAAATCTAGTTCTATCCTCCAGCTTCTTTCCTCCTTCTCAAAAGACAAAAATCTCAACACTGAACTGATGAGCACTGGTCTAGGAGTGTGTTCCTAGAGGTGTTTTTACGTATGTTACCTGCTGAATCTATTCTGCCAAATAATTTAATTCTAGTATTTTTTAAAATGAGAAACTACAGAAATGTTTTCCTCGCTGTGCACAACACATTGCACAATTTTTATGTTCTGTAAGGGTGACAACATGCTATCAAATTACTTTTTCAAAAAGTTATATTAGATTTATATCATCATGTAATACTATGGCTTTGAGTGAGACGGATGTCTTTTGTGACTTGTCTTTTAGTATATATGTGGTCATCCGGAAATAAGTTTCTAATGTTGTTAAATACTTGCTTTGATGAATACCTGGAAAGGGAGACCAATACTTCTTTCAAAAATATGCATATTAAATATGAATCTATTTCATTCTATACAAATTCTGGTTATATGGTCTAAAACATCGGTTATGCAAGTGCTGGTCATTCATCTTCAGAAATGGTGGTTATCTTCATTTATTTTATCTTTTATATAAAGCCAAGTGGGTTTTTTTTAAATTTCTGCATATGCTTTCTGGCAAGTGCACTTGCCACTTAAATCATACTTTTTGCTGAGAATCTTAGAATTAGTTCACTCTAGATATGAATTTTCACCATCAATGCACTCTCACTGTCAGGCTGCTTACATGAAACTGAGAGTATAAAGTGAGCAGTAAGAAATAGATTATATTCAAAGTCATTTTAGGATCTTTTTTATGCTGTAGCAATGTAAAACAGTGTCTGAGGAATTCAGAATCATAACTTACGTGTTTGTTATTCTGACCAGTGAAGCTCTTGTGAAGTGATTGCTACCTACACAAGCAGTTGAATAGAGATTTTTAAAATGGCATTAAATACCCGAAGTGATCTTCAACCTCTTTTCATGTTCAATCAGCAGTATGTTGTTAGACTGTTATCCCAGTAAACATCTGGCAGGTTGGTGTAGAAGCAGTAGGTGGCAAATCCAAGACTGAAGACTGACATTTTCCATAAAATATCTGTAATATTAAAGTAAGACTTACATAAACCATTATTATGATGTACATGCAGCCACAGTATATTATCATACCATGATATCCTTAAAAATAGTAAGGTCACCTGCTGACATCTGGTACCATCATGTCTGTTTTCAAAGGCTTTTTCCTCCAGATGGAGTCAGGTTATTTCAAAATAGTTTTTTCTGCTTTTTCAGAAAAGCACTGTTTTCTCTGCCTACCACAGAAATTTTATTGTTAGTTCTTTAGAGTGCCTTGAAGAGAAGTTCTCAAACTTTTATGAAAATGGTATTTTTAACAGGCCATCTGCTGTCTTAGAACATCAAGTCATATGCATCCTATTTACAAGACGTATATTGCACTAATTTTAACCTTGCTACAGTTTAGCTGCTGAAAATAAGAATTTAATTTGCACCATGTGCAAACATTTTTTCCCTCAGGCCAATAGCATGTTTGGTGACTACTTTATTCCTATAGTTTGTGTTCTATAACCTAATATTTTGCTTTTTATCAAAAGCTTTTACAAACAAGAATAGAGATTGAATTTCAGATGTATAGGAGCAACACATGACGTACATAGTCCATCACCTTGTGTGTTCATAGTACCTATCCTCATTTGATTCAAGACAATTCCACTGGTATTTTGTTCCTTGCACATGAAATTCATGGTGCTTAGTGACATATCTCGGATTTATCTGTGGTTGGTATTGAAGGCTAGTTTTGTTACGACTTAATTTTAAATTCACTTCTACCAAAAGGGTTAATCTTAGTTTTACCAGACAATAGAGAAAGAAAATGTTTCTAATTAACAAGGTATCTATAGAAAATACTGGTTTAGTAGCAAATACTGCTCAGCAAGTTAGTAAAATGGTGAACATCACCTTAGTTCTAAATGTGCATCTTCATTACTGTGTATGAAATCTTAAAATGGAAATCTGTCATTTAGATTTTTGCATGTACCCAAATACTCTGAAAATAAAACCCACTAAACTACAATGATAACAATCAAATGTCAAAAGGTTAAGTTACAGACTTAACGTTGTAGTAAATCTCTCATTATTTCAGTGTACTACATGCATATGCAGTTCAATCTTCTGTTGAATGCAAGTGTTTACTCACACCTGAAAGTCTGAAGCTTTCTAAAATTGACTCTAAATTAGTTCTTGCATGTCTTAAACTATCATGGTTGACACATCAAGGTAATTCAGATGAATAACCCCCTTAAAAAGAGGCATACAAAAAGTAATGGCTGTGACCTTATATTGTCTTACTGTTTCTTGCTAAATGCAGTGATAGACCAGCAGCAGTGGAAATTCTATAAATTATTTACTTATCCAGAATACAGTTTAATCTGCTTTTATTGCAAGACTGAATTTCTCTGGGTCTGTCTTTGTGTAGTTTTCACACAACTGTATTTCTCCTTGTGGGACTGTCTCTTGTTTTGTTTGCTGTTCTAGAAGATGTTTTCTCTGGGTTTTGTACATATGAGATATGTATATATACGCACACATTTTTCTATGCTTGCCTTGACTTCTCTTACCCCTTTTGGATGACTGAACACAGTTCATGTCTCAGCATGTAGACAATATGTAAATACCCATATTACATTAGATCAGTGACTTGTGGAATATTTCACTCTGTAAATACATCAGGAAGGTATGGAGCTCTAAGCACGGCAGTGGTCCGCAGCTGTCTCTTCGTGATGGAATAATACTGATACTTTCTGGGTGAGCTTTACTGTACTGGGTTGCTTGTGTTAGGTTTCTTCTGCCTTAAGTTAATAATATGAAGCTAATCCGGTATAAACTAACACCAGTTTTTACTAATGGTAAGATAATTAGGTTGTTGAGAACTCATGGTATGGCTACTGATGAACCAAATGCTAAGGAGGGGGACATTCCTGCACTGCAAAACTTAGAACCTGGATAGATTATATCATGCTGATACAGTTCAACACATGTGATCTTCTGTATTTTACACATTTAAAAAAAATTTATCTCTATGCTGCCTTTGCAGATAAGCTTTAATCTACATATATGTACTTTTCCCATTGATTACTTAAATTATATGACCAGTACTAAATAATGCAGGTTTAGAAACTGCATTTATTTCTCCTGTATAGCCTTGGAAAAGTTCTCTTTGTGTTAGGACAGGAACAGTCCCCTCCCAAATCCAGCCGTGCTGCTTAAAGGTGTTAATTCTTCCAGCTGCTTGTTTTCATCCTCTACTCTTTTGCCAGTAAAGAAGGGGGAGTTTTGTCTGCATTTTTAAATGTGCTTCAGGCAAAACCAGCCTGGTTAGCTCAACTCACCTATTTAAATTAAATTGGCTGGTTTCGTACAAACCATATTAGGGAGTACTCACGTGATTTCTTCTTCCAGCAGAGCTGTGGAGATGATAATCTCCAGCAGATGTGTGATAACAAATAGCTTGGGATAGTAATGTCTTCATCTGGCGCAGTTGTTAGCAGACCAAATGTCTGTCTGTAGCCCGAGGCTGTGGGGCAAACAATTGAACATGATTGAGTTATGGCAAGTTAACAAGTTGCTGCTTGGCAGCTGAACTGCCATAGCTGATCACATGCTCATTGTTTGCCTGCTCCTGCCATGAGGTAAAACACATTTTCTTAAGTCACCTTTGTAAAATTTTGTAAAAATGAGTTCTACATAAAGAAGATTCCCCCAGGGCTAAGAGATTCATTTGGTCAGCTATGGAGACAGCGTTGAATGGTGTTTTGCCCAGCTGCTGTAACATGACTTTGAAGGTGTGATTATATTGTTAAATATATGGGGGACCTCCACAACTGTCTGCCTGTCTCTTAACATTTAATGTATTTATCCTCACAATACTCCTATTAAGTTGGGAAGTACTTTTGTCCTCGTTTGACAGAATAACCAGAATACTTAAGCAACTTAATATTTTGCTGTTGGTCATACAGTTGATGCCATAACTAGTTAATTTATGCTAGAATCAACAGAATTGCAGATTGGGAAAACAGCAGGCTACTGAATAAATTAAACTTGTGAAATTATTTCCTTTAGATAATGGTCATTTACAGTGTGTTCCTGTTAAGTATCATTAATTATTTTATCTACGTATTTATTTTTTCTTACTGTACTGGAAGTAGAATTTGACCCATGCATGAACTGAGAAACCGAAAAGAAAATAGTGCCCAAATTTTCACTGCTTAACAATATTTTTTTTTGTTGTATCTTGATAATTCCATGTTGGCTTTCTACACTCAAATGTTCCCCCAGAGATCTTTCAAAAGAAAAAAGCTATCTGTAGTTCTCATGCAGCTCAGTCCTGGCTTGAAAGAAGACTAAGTTATACTCACAAAAGTTATTTCAAGGTGAAGTAGAATTACACGAGTTCAGTTGCAGCAAGCTAACTGATGCTGTGTTAATCTGGTCTACACAGCAGCAGCTTAGTATGAAGTACTTCACCACTTCTTGTGGTTGCAAAGTAGAACATAGCTTGAGGTAGGGGTGGTAC